ATAAAAAAAACTAATAAAAAAATGGACAAAGGACCTAAATAGACATTTTTTGAAAGAGGACATACAGAAGGCCAAGAGACATATGAAAACATGCTCAAAGTTACTAATCATCCAAGAGATGCAAATCAAAACGACAATGAGGTACCATCTCACACCTGCCAGAATGGCTATCATCAACAAATCAACTAACGACAAGTGCTGGAGAGGATGCGGAGAAAAAGGAACCATCCTTCACTGCTGGTGGGAATGCAGACTCATACATTTTAGAAGCCTTCATCCATCAAGGTAGGCAAGGGGCATGCTGCTCTTCAGGGGCTGGCCCCTTGGACACTTGTGTCTACCTCTCTGGCCTCCGAGGTCCTCCATAACCTGTCATCAGCCACCGATGCAGCCTTCTTTGTCTTTATAACAATTTTTGTCTTAAAGTCTATCTTGTCTGATAGCATAGTCACTCCAGCTCTCCTCTGGTTACTGCTTACATGGAATATCTTTTCCCATCCTTTTACTTTCAACCTATTTATGTCCTTGAATCTAAAATGTGTTTCTTGTTGCCCGGCCAGTATGGTTCAGTGGTTGAGCATTGACCTATGAACTAGACCAGGGGTGGGCAAACTTTTTGACTCGAGGGCCACAATGGGTTCTTAAACTGGACCGGAGGGCCGGAACAAAAGCATGGATGGAGTGTTTGTGTGAACTAATATAAATTCAAAGTAAACATCATTACATAAAAGGGTACGGTCTTTTTTTTTTTTAGTTTTATTCATTTCAAACGGGCCGGATCCGGCCCACGGGCCGTAGTTTGCCCACGGCTGAACTAGACAGTGGTCGGCAAACTCATTAGTCAACAGAGCCAAATACCAACAGTACGAGGATTGAAATTTCTTTTGAGAGCCAAATTTTTTACACTTAAACTATATAGGTAGGTACATTGTTATTAACTTAATTAGGGTATGCCTAAAGCTTAGGAAGAGCCACACTCAAGGGGCCAAAGATCCGCATGTGGCTCGTGAGCCGCAGTTTGCCGACGATGGAACTAGGAGGTCACGGTTCAATTCCCGGACAGGACACATGCCTGGGTTGTAGACTCCATCCTCAGTAGGGGGCCTGCAGGTGGCCTATCAATGATTCACTCTCATCATTTATGTTTCTATCTCTCTCTCCCTCTCCCTTTTTCTCTGAAATAAATATAAAAATTAAAATATATAAAAAGATTGTTAAAATGTGTCTCTTGTACACAGCATATTGGTAGAACTTTTTTTTAAGGTTAATTCTGCTAATCTCTGTTTTGTGTGTGTGTGCAGTAAAATATACATAACAATAATAAAGTAAACAATTCAATGGCATTTAGTACATTCACAAGGTTTGCGACCATCACCTCTATCTAGAACATTTTCATCACCCCCAAAGAAACCCTAGATCCATCAGCAGTCACTCCCATTGCCCCCACCCCCCAGCCTCTGGCAAGCATTATTCCACTTTCTATCTCTAAGTTCAGCTGTTTTATATAAACAGAATCATGCAATATGTGGTCTCTGTGTCTGTCCACTTCCACTCAGCACGATGACTTACAGTTTATCCATATTGTCCATTTGCCTCTCTTGCCTGGCATCAGCCCACCTTGGCCAGACTGGGCTCTCTCCTCTCTGACAGACACCAGGCGTGTTCTCACAGGCTCTGGGTGCCTGATTTTGTTGAGCCCATCCACTCCGTTTCCTGCTCAGTTCAAT